ATTTAGTTACTTATCCAGCTATTAGCTTAAGCAATGATTAGAAAATTTAGTACCTATTTTAAAAACTCCAAACCACAAAATTAATTTTTTTATCAGTTTTTTCTTTTTGTTTACTCAGATGAAATTAGGTTAATTAATTAAGTCCATAAGTTAAACTTTAAACATTTAATTTGTATAAATAAATCCAAAAGGACTTCCCTTAGTTAAGATATTTACAATTTGAGCACATAACCTAAAATTTGAAAGAAATGTACTAGATTCTGTCATTAAAGTTGACAGATTTTGTTTGAATTTACCTTCATTACAAAACTGACATAATTAACAATTAATAAAAACGCCAAATTAACAATTTGCATTGTTGATTTTGTAATTTTTATAAATAAGCTAAATTTATACAAAATCTGGCAACTGTATTTACAGAATCTGGAAACGCTGCTTGTTACCAACCATAACAAAATAAATTAAATTAGGCAACCAGAATTTTCTAAACTTCCTAGTCGATCAGTGGCGTACTTTTTGGTAGGATAAAGGTTATTATGAATTATTTTTAGAATTTAGAAAAAAAGTTTCAGGTGCTTTTTTATGGACCCTAAGGAAATACGCATTTTAATATATTATATTAATTACATACCACCCTATATATTCAACAATTTCATAATATAATAATAATAATAATAATAAAACTTTATTGCCATTAAATCTTATAGAACAAAAGACATTAGCAGTGTCAAACATATACAAATTAAGTAAAAGTTACAAATATATAAAAACATTAAGATTAATTAAAATAATTTTTAAAACATTAAACAACTAAATTAAATAAATAAATATGGGAAAAAGGCTAACAAACAAATTCTGTAAATATATACTAGTGCCCTATAAAATCACTAAATGAGTAATATTCATTTTCAATCAATAATATTTTCAATTTGCTTTTAAATAAAAAATAATCATTTAATGATCTTATCGAGGGGTCACCCACACCTGGGAATCCCTGGACATTTTAGAGGGGGAATACCATAGGAATACAATGGAAATAAATAGGAATACAATAAAATATAATGGGAATACATGGGAATCCCTGGACGTTTTCCCTTTGGGTGGTTGACCCCTCGGATCTTATATCATTTGGGAGAGCATTAAATGCTTTAATAGCATTGTATTCTGGTGATTTTTGTAATCTTAAATTGTCTCTATTTCTTGTTATCATGTTATTATAAATTTCATGGTTTCTTGTAAAGAGTTCAGGATTACTCTTAACAAACAACACCAGCTTGTATATATACAAAGATGGAACTGTAAGTATTCCCAAATTCCTAAAATAGGTTCGACATGAAGTTCGCAGAGTTAATTGAGCAATACATCTAATTATTTTCTTTTGAATTTTAAATATTTTATCAATATGTTTGGTGCCTCCCCAGAACAGGATTGAATATTCAATTAAGGACTGCACGTATGAGTAGTAAAAAATTCTTAGAGAACTTGTTGAAACTTGATCCCGCAAAAATCTTATTAAGTAAGTTGATGAATTTAACTTTGAAATTAATTGTCTAATATGTACATCCCACCTAATGTTGAATTCGAATGTAACACCCAAAAATTTAACCGATTCTACTTGACAAATTGATTTGTTATTTAATCCTACGTGTAAGGATTCCAGTATTTGTAATTTAGAAAACAATAATAAATTTGTTTTGGATCCGTTCAATTTTAGATTGTTCTCATTGCAAAATGCAGTCATTCCAGAGGTAATATCATTTAATACAGTTGAACAACTTGCCATTGATGATTCGGTTACCAGACATGAGGTATCATCAGCAAATTGAAATAAATTTGAAATACCTAGATGTTCATACAAATTATTCATGTACAAAACAAATAACAAAGGTCCCAAAATAGATCCTTGAGGAACTCCCTGCGTCATTATTTTGCCGCTAGAATAAATTGTCTGTTTTATATTATTGGTTAAACTTGGAATGGCTACAAATTGGGAACGACTTGTCAAGAATGACTCAATCAAATTATTTGCATTACCTCTAACTCCATACATATCCAATTTTTCCAGTAATATGGAATGCTTTACGGTATCAAATGCCATTGATAAATCGAAATATAGGCAAGCAACTTTTTTATTTTTGTCCAATGCCGAAATTATAGAATTTATAATGGTTATTAATCTATCATAAATAATTTTTTCTATGATTTTAGAAAAACAAGAAGCAATAGAAGTACCTCGGTAATTATCAAGATTTTGCCTATCGCCTTTCTTAAATACAGGGATGGTTTTATTAATTTTTAATTTTTCTGGAAATACTCCAGTCAAAAAACAACTATTTACTATGTTGGATAGAGGTAATGCTATTTCACATACAATCTCTTTCAAAACAGTTATAGGCACCTCATTGATAGGGGCCGTTCATTAATTACGTGAGACAATTTTGGCGATTTTTCGACCCCCCCCTCCCCCTTGGTGAGATGTCGTGAGATTTTGCTCGACCCCCTCCCCCCCCCCTTAATCTCACGTGAGATTTTTTAAAATGCATGGTTTTAATGTAAATAAGTTAATCTGTGCTTGATTCCATTAGATTTATTAAAAAAAAACAATTTGCTTATAATTGTTTACTTAATTTAACCCAGTTTTCTCGCAATTTTACACTCTTTCTTTCAAAAAAAAAAAAATTACGTGATATTTCGTATTCCGTATGTATTTTTTAAAAAATTTTCTTTCGGTTTTATATAGTTTTAAAATATCTTGATCGTTCGTGTTTAGATATAATTTATAAAGGTCATGTATATTCTTTGGCCTCAAGGGGTATCCAACATTTATTATTGCAATTGTATATTCGTTTTTTTGTTTTGGGGAATGCACTGTCAAAGTAATGCCAAAATATTTCAAAAAATGTGTCATACTTACAGTTCGTATCAGTATTATTATATACTTTATTCCAATTTTCAAGTTTTATTGAATTTACAAATCTCTTTATATTATTCTTATTAAAAGTTCTTGATATTTGGAACTTTGCACTGTCCCCAATTGAGTAAGAATCCATCAATAATAATGATATTGGCAAATGATCAGATATTGAATAGTTTAATACAGAACAATTTAATCTATTTTTTGTTATATTACTAAAAATATTATCAATTTTTGTGTTTAATCTTGTATTTGAAGTAACCAAGGCATTCAAACCATAGGACGCAAGAATATTGACTAGCAATGGAATTTTCTAGGTCAGTATTATTAAAGTTAACATTAAAATCACCACATAAAATTATAAAATAGTTTTTATCCAATAATAAATTAAGTAGGTAAGTCCTCCAAAGATTTAATAAAAATATTAATATCCCCAAGAGGAGATCTATAAAAATTAATTAAAACACAATATGTATCAAGGTACTTAAATTTTAAGCTACAATATTCAAAATCATTTTCAATTTTTGGATAATTCAAAGTAAAGTTTTCAATAATAAAATCATGTCTTATGTATATAGCAACCCCTCCACATTTATTTAAAGAGCGGCAATAATATTCAGCTAAATTATAATTTTGTAGGCAATAGATTAGTATTTCATCTTCTCTAAGCCAGTGTTCCTGCACCGCAAAAATTAAAGGAGAAATATCGCTTAAAAATATATTAAGTTCATTTATTTTATTTCTAATGCATTGGCAATTTAGGTTTATTAATGATAATTTGAAAGAAGATATGTTTTTAATTTGATTGATTGGACTCTTGTTTACGAAAAAATATATATTTTTTTATTAAAAGACCTTTTGGCCAATTATTAGGCTTGTAAATTTCATCTAAAAGTTCAGGATCCACGCTAACCTTAAAACTTTCACTGTTGGAGTTTTTCCACTTGGGAAGAATGTCAACAGTAAACTTATTTTTGGAAAACGTTTAACCAGATATTCTTTTAGTTGATTTGTTGTTGTACCGGGTGAAGCACGGCCCACGTAGATCCAAGTTCTTCTTGGGACTGCTGTAAGACCGCTCTGCTTGTCATCGGAATTAGTATCGGTGACCATCGTACCCTGGCCGAATACTCGCTTTACTTGTTGTTTGGTTTTTAAATTTGATTCCGTCGCGTTATTAATTAAATCTGTTTTTTCAGTTGCTGGTTTGTTTTTGTTTACTTTTTTTACTTTAGGTTTATCAACCTTATTTTCTGCTGTCTTTGTTGGCTTTCTGGCACATTGTTTATATTTAGATTTTTTGAATTATCACTTGTAGCAATGTTATGACTTTTAGGCGCTAACATATGAACTAATTGAATATTAGATTCACGAAGCACAGTCACTTCACTTCTTAAAGACTCGATAGTTTCATGTAAAGATTGCACCTCCGATTTTATAATTTCACACAGTAGTGTCTTTATCTCGTCGTTTTGCAATAAATTCACCACTTGATCACTAAGGTCCTGTGACGAATTTGATCTAAGTCTCGTCATTTCACAAAAGATTTTAATAATTATAGATTTTAGCGTATTTTTGATGTAGAGCTATATATCGAATGAAAACCAAGCCAAGCCATGCATCGTCTTGATCATAGTAATTATTGGCAATATATTTAATGCTCGACATAACAAAAAAAATAAGTAAATATATATTTGTCAGAAAAGGTGGGAAATAAATGTAGTCGTAGATAAAGTATAGTACATTACACGAGATACAAAGCAATTACCCGACTTGCGGCGTTACACACTTCGCCGCTTGCTCATATGCTACTGGCCTACATCTCTTGTAATATAAAATTATATTAATAAATATAATAGGATATTATATAATATATTCTTAAAACAGTAAACTGAGTTAAATACTAATTTTATAACTTCCAAACTATTGTGTGTGTTTTTTCGTATATATGGCATTAGTGTTCATTTTAGAGACAATTATTGCCCACTTCCATGTAAATAATATTGTATTTTATAGTTTCTAAAAAACGCATATATATAAAATAAATAAATATTTTTATGTTTTAATTAATTTATTATTTTGTTAGGTTAAGAAGAATGAAAGGAATTTTTATATTTGGTAAGCCTGTAACCAGTGTAATTGCTATAGGATCCCAAGATTTTGAGATTTATAGATTATCTTCAGCATTAAATGAGTTGGGTTGGAATTTAAATGTACTTCAATTTCCCTCTGGGTAAAATTTCTTAAAAAATATATTATTTAATTCATATTTAACCCAATTGTAGTATTCATATTTGTTTAACATCAATGCATACCCAGGATGTTGCTGAAAAATTTTTAAATGATGTTAAAAAATCACTGGAAGATATATTAAAAGAACCAAAAATACCTGTGGAAGGAAAGGTATTATTTGTAGGTCTTTTTATTAAAAATATTTTTATTTTTGTTCTTTTAGATGGCCCTTTACGGAGTTGCTCAAAGCATACCAGATCGTTCAGTTGTAGGAAGTTTCACAAAATTTTACTTGGACTCTTTATATTATATTCCCAAAAGTCACAATGAATCCAATCAGCAATAACGAAAATTGAATATTTTCATACAAAAAATAATATTTAATTAACAATATAATCTGGGTGTTCATGTTACTTTTCTGTTAACTTGTTAATCTGTTTAAACAAAGTTACCAAAGTTTTATATACTTTTCAGACGCGGCAATTAAATAAAATATAAAAACTTACTTGCAGTTTAACAAAAGTACCTTTTGAGTCAATCCAAATGAAAACACCAAAAATGAATTTAAATGATTTTTTATTTTAATGAAAAAATTTGAGTATGATCTTTTAGGTATATATGAAAAACCGTTGCCGTTTTAATTTTTAGTTGCTTTATTTTTAATCGGCACCCTTTAGAAACCTGAAATAGTGTCATTTTCTTACTCTCTTATAAGAGGCTAAAACTTTTTTTCTGTGGCAATTATTGAAATGATTGTAATTTTATTTTACTGCCTAGTAAGTATGTTTTCAATATTAATTATTATTATCCAATTAGTTCATCTCATAAACCACTAAAGATTTGTAATAATTTGCCAATTTTTGTGATTTTTGTCTGGCTCCTGTGCCTATTCTGCTAAATCTCGAAAGTTGATTTTTTTCAGGTATCAAGTACTTATACAATAGAAAACGTAACTATTATTTTAAGTTTCTAGACTATCATTTTCTTTATTAAAAACATTATTGAAACTTGATCATTTTCAAAACTAGCCAATTTTGCCTTCAGAAATCATTATGTTGAGGAAAAAATAAAAATCCGAAACTTTCAGGAAATGTAGTCCCCACCTTCATCTTTTCAGTCTAGTTAGTCTTGTTTTGTTATTTTTATCCATGTAAAAGATATAATATTTTTTTCTTACTACCTCGACTCAAAATACGTTGTTTCGTCCCCGATTCCACGGCAGAAAGTTTACGTTTTATGTATTGGTCAAGCTATACGCGCACACTCTAATAGCGGGAGTAAAAATTTTTTAGTCCTTTCGTACTGCCAACATGAGAAACACAAAAATATGACAGTTTTAAACCATAATTTTGCAATTATAACAACAAATAAACAATTTATGTTTTTACTTTTTTACTTTTTATGTTGTTTTAAGTGTTTATTGGTACTTTTATTTGTTATAAAGTAGTAATTTGTTAATTAAAATACAACCTTTTATTTTTATTGTATTGGCACCGCTGAATTCACGGCCTACTGTTATTTATTTATCAAGCTCTTCAAATGGAGATAGGTACATAAATACATTTAATTTTTTCCCCTAAAAACTAAAATTTAAAGAAGTATTTACAGATTGTGTACATTTTTTACCAACACTAACATTTAAAATACATACATATAACTTTTAACTATTCAGTGCCTTACTAAAGGGATCAAAATAATAGAACAAGACTAACTTGGTTTAATTGTGTAAGAAACCGACAAAAAACTGCTTAACGCATTTTTTATACGTTTAAATTAACTCTTTATTAATTTCACTTATTATACTTTACGATATACCTAAACCATAAGGCTCTTGAATATATTTTTTACATTCTTCTTTAAACACCAATTAGCCAATTAAATACTTCAGTATAATGTGTATAATATATATATATATATATATATATATATTAGGGTGTGTCATTTTTAGGCGATATTTTTTTTTTCGCTGTTATACCAGAAAATCTAATACTTTATAGAAATTAAAAAATTATGCCGCCGGGTAAAAGGTTCTAAGTGCAATAGCGGCTTAGCTCATTTAAAAATTCAATTTCCCATTGAAATAACACAGAAAATTTTTTTTGTTTGTTTTAATTAGATTTTTCGCTGTTAAAAACTTTTTTCCCTAAAAACTTTTTTATAGCTTTTGTAGGAAATTAAATTCTCTACAAAATCATCCCTTTGCTCGAAGACCGTATAACCAGTAGTTTCAGAGTTATAGCGCTGGAAATATAAACTTTTATAAAAATAGACCTCAAATTCCATTTTATTTTTCTTCGAGCAAAGGGATGATTTTGTAGAGAATTTAATTTCCTACAAAAGCTATAAAAAAGTTTTTAGGGAAAAAAGTTTTTAACAGCGAAAAATCTAATTAAAACGAACAAAAAAAATTTTCTGTGTTATTTCAATGGGAAATTGAATTTTTAAATGAGCTAAGCCGCTATTGCACTTAGAACCTTTTACCCGGCGGCATAATTTTTTATTTTCTATAAAGTATTAGATTTTCTGGTATAACAGCGAAAAAAAAAATGTCACCTAAAAATGACACACCCTAATATATATATATATATATATATATATATATATATATATATGATTATACAATACATAAAATATAACAAAAGTATCAAATATATCAGAACTGTCAAAAATATTTCATAATTATTATTTGTGGTATTCCTTTGGAAGTTCTGACACTTCTCCACCAAACATAAAAGCCATCTAAATTTTAAATTATAAATAAAACTAACAATATCGCTACTAAACGGGCATTAAAAAAATTAATATATCTTTTAAAGGAATAAAAATAACAAAACAAGACCAAGTGGACTGAAAAGATGAAGGTTGGGACTACATTTCCTGAAAGTTTCAGATTTTTATTTTTTCCTCAACATAAAGATTTCTGAGGGCAAAATTGACTAATTTTAAGAATTATCAAATTTCAATAATTTTTTTAATAAAGAAAATGATAGTTTAGAAACTAAAAATAATAGTTACGCTTTTTATTGTATAAGTACTTGCTACCTGAAAAAAAGCAACTTTCTAGATTTAGCAGAATTAGCAGAGGAGCCAGACAAAAATCACAAAAATTGGCAAATTATCATGAATCTTTAGTGGTTTACCATTCTTTTATGATATAAACTAATTGGATAATAATAATTTATATCGAAAACACACTTACTGAACAGTAAAACAAAATTAAAATCATTTCAATATTTGTCACAGAAAAAAAGTTCTGGCCCACTATAAGAGAGTAAGAAATTGACACGATTTCAGATTTCTAAAGGGTGCCGATTAAAAGTAAAGAATCCCAAAATTAAAACGGCAACGGATTTTCATATTTGATACCTAAAAGATCATCCTCAATTTTTTTTATCAAAATAAAAATCAAGCAGCGCACCCCATTTGGTGTTTTTATTTGGAATGACTCTTTTATAATTGTGGTTAATTGTTATCATGATATAATAAATATTTTGGACCTAATCCGGGTTAAAAAAAATACCCTTGTACAAATTAAGTGATATTGTTGCAACACCCTGAATATCACTTAATTTGTACAAGGGTATTTTTTTAATTCTTATAAATAAACTGCACTTCAAAATAACTAGATATTGTAATAATGTACAATTTTAACATAATATACATATAAATATAATAATAATATAACTTGTTTAATTTAATTTTTTGGGTGACCTTTTGCCTGAAAGATTTTTACCACCGCCACCGCCGACGGTGGACTAGGGGTTAGTGCTGCTGACTACAAGCCGAGAGGTCGTGGGTTTAAATCCCACCAGGGGTATGGCTGTTTATTTGTGTTTGTCCTATTGTATAATAGTCCGTCGGAGGGAACTTTAAGCCCGCGGTCCGTTCCTACCACTAACCGGCTCAACCCATTCAGTTGGCTTCTGGGGCTTCTTAGGAAGTAAGGGTGGAACTAAAAGAGCACTTTTGTATAAACTTTTTGCATATAATAACAGTCAAATTCAAAAAGACGCTGCGTTTCTGAAAGGTCATTTTTGGACTTTCCGCGAAAACAATTATTGTTTAATTATTGTTTACCTATATGGTATTTATTACTAATAAGGCATGTCGGGTTATAAGGTCTAAAATCAAAAAAAATGTTTAAACTGACTAACTGACAAAGAAATTGCACCCAGAAGGAGGTGCTCGATTTAAATAATTACATTTGATCAAATATATGTAGGTACTATATTAAGGAGTAAACGATTAGAATTTGGAGAAAAAAAGTTTTTTTTATTAATTTTGTTAATGTTTTTGTCTACCGTGTTAATTATCTACACACTCCTTAACACGCCTTGGCATTGATTGAATGAGGTGGTCTATTTCTTCTTAAGGTATATTATCCCAAGCTACCTGTACTTTATCTCTTAGAGCCTCCAAAGTCCTTGGGGGCTGAGGTAAATTTCCTAGATTTCTACCCATCACATCCCAAACATGTTCTATGGGCGAAAGGTCGGGGGATCTGGCTGGCCATGGCATTAGACTCACATGAGCCTCTTAAAAAAAGTTCAAACTAACTCTGGCAACATAAGGCCGCGCATTATCTTGTTGAAATATTGGATCCACAAGCCGATTAAGGTAAGGGAGAACATACGGCTCCACTACTTAAGATAACGTTGCGCTATCATGTTGCCTCTAATAAAGATTAGAGGTGACCTACTTCCATGAGCAATAGCCAGGGTTGGAAAAAACCTAAGAATATGAAAAATAAATTGTAGGTTTTAAGTTTTTTTATGGTTTTTTAAGTTTTTTTTAGGTTTTTTAAGATTGAATTTTGGACGATTATTAATTGCTGATTTGTAATGTTAATTAATAGTACTGAACACATATAGATAAATACATAATATTTATTTAAAAATAAAAATGACTCAACATAATCATAAAATATTGAAGTTCAATGGAACTTTAAATTGTCTCTCAGTGACTGAAACTGAGACTCAGCCAGTCAATGATCATATTATCAGATTTATGATCAATATTCTGGTAAACATGTTTTACAAAACAAAGATAATATAATCTATTATCTTTGTTTTAAAACATGTTAACCACAAAAAAGCGATGTTTGTCATTTGAAGATAAAAAACCTTAAAAACCTAAAATGAGGTTATTTGAATGAGTAGGTTTTTTCAAAAAACCTAAAAAAACCTGTACCTGCCAACCCTGGCAATAGCACCTCATACCATAACGCCTACTGTTCGGTGTACATGATGCTCAACATCAAACTGAGGTTGACGTCTTTCTCCCCCACGTCGTCTGACCCTTCTTCGGCCGTCATGTCCACCTAAGCAGAATCGGGATTCATTAAACCGATAGATATTTGTATCGGGATGTATGGTGTTTCTATAGGGTGTATCGGTTTGTATAGGACCCATAGTTGAGATTTATGGTTGTTCTATAGGGATATCCATCCTTGATTTATTTGCTATCGGTTTCAATGGGGAAAATACACATAAATGTAGAAATTAGTTTTTCCCCTATAGGACCTCATAGGTTTTAATTAAATTATGTCAAATGTTTTATGGTTGCTCTATAGGGATATCCCTATATGTCCTTCATTAAGTTATTTGCTATCGGTCTCAATAGGGAAAATGTAAAAGTTATAGTGTGCCTATAGGTAATTTCCTATACATTTTCTATCGGGCCGTATCCGGAAAAAACCATGGACAAATGCACATATTGAATCCGGTAGCGCCCGATAGATTATTTTGTATAGGTCTCTATGGGGTATTTTAA